GTGTGAAGGATTTCAGTTTTTGACCATTTAGTATGATATTGGCTGTTGGTTTTTCATAGATGGCTTTTATCAGATTGAGGTACAGACCATCTATTGCAATTTTTTGTAAGCTTTTTATCATAAATCCATGTTAGATTTTGTCAAATGCTTTTTCTGCATCTATTGAGATGATTATTGGTTTTTGTCCTAGGCTCTATTTATATAGTGTATTACATTGATTGACTTGCATATGTTGAACCATCCCTGCATCCCTGGGATGAATCCCAATTGGGAAGGTTGTATGATCTTCTTTATGATCTTCTGCATTCTGTTTTCCAGTATCTTATTAAGGACTTTTGCATCCATGTTCATTAGTGAGATTGACCTACAGTTCCCTTTTTCAGTTGGGTCTTTCTCTGCTTTGGAGATCAAGGTGATGCTTGCTTCCAGGAATGAATTCAGGAGTATTGCTTTCCTTTCAATTTCTTCAAAGATTTTAAACAATCATGGCAGTAGTTCCTCTCTAAATGTCTTGTAGAATTCAGCATTGAAGCCATCAGGATCTGGGCTTTTCTTAGTTGCTAAATTTTCAATTGCATTTTCAATTTCATTGATTGATTATTGGGTTGTTTAGAATTTTTAGGTCTTCTTCGTTCAACTTTGGTAATTCATACTTATCTAGGAATCTGTTCATTGTTTCTGTTTTCCATCTTTGTGTATAGATTCTCAAAGTAGTTGTTGATGATCCTCTGGATTTCTGCTGGGTCCATTGTAATTTCACCCTTTTCATTCCTAATTGCATGGATTTGAGTCTTTTCTTTCCTTTTTCTGATATGGTTGGCTAAAGGTTTGTCAATTTTGTTGATTCTTTTGAAGAACCAACTCTGAGCTTCATTGTTCTTTTTTATTGTTCTCTTAATCTCCATTGCATTAATTTCTCTCTGATCCTTATAATTTCATCCCTTGTGTGAGCTTTGTGTTTGTCCTGCACTTCTTTTGCTAGAAGATTGAGGTTCAGCATCAGGTTGTTTAATTGGATTCTCTCTGTTTTCCTAATATGAGTATTCACTGCTATGAATTTCCTCCATAAGACTGCTTTCATTTTATCCCATAGATTCTGATATGTTGCATTATCATTGTCATTTAATGTAGGAAACATCTGATTTCTTCTTTAATTTCCTCTGTGACCCATTGGTTATTCAGAAGTGTGTTGTTCAATTTCTACATGTTTATGAAATTATTGTGGTTTGTCTTGCTATTGATCTCCAATTTCATCACACTATGGTCTGATAATATGCAGGGGGTAGCTTCAATTCCTTTGCACTTACTTAAACGTGGTCTATGAACAAGTATGTGGTCTATTTTGGAGAATGGCCTGTGTGTATCTGAAAAGAATGTGTACTCTGATTTTGTGGGATGGAAGACTCTGTAAACATCTGTTAAGTTCATTTGTTCAAGAGTTTGAATGAGTTCTAGGGTTTTGTTGTTTATATTTTGTCTAGCTGATGTATCTATTTGTGACAGTGGGGTGTTGAGACCCTCCACTACTATTGTATTAGTGCTTATTTGATTTTTCATGTTCTTTAGTATTTGTTTTATATAGTTGGGCACACTAGTGTTTGCTGCATAAATATTTATGATTGTTGTCTCTTCCTCTTAGATTATTCCCTTTACAAGTTTGTAGTGTCCTTTTTCTCCCTTAATTGGTGTTGGTTTGAAATCCACTTGATCTGCAAGCAGGATAGCTATTCCTGCTTTTTTTTTTTGGTTTCTGTCACAGGGAATATTGTTTTCCACCCTTTAACTTTCAGTCTATGAGTTTCTTTTTTAATTGAATGTATTCTTTTTATGCAGTATATTTTTGGATCTTGCTTTTTTACCCATTCTGTCAGTCTATTTCTTTTGATTGGCAATTTGAGACCATTAACAGTGATGGTTATAACTGATACATATTGAATTTATCACTGTTATGACTTTTTCTTTTTGTTGGATTCTACCCCTTTGCGTTTAATTTCTTGTCATGCCCGATGGATTCATTCTGTTGGGTCCCTGGGGTTGTGATCCTCTTTGTCTTTTCCTAGGATATTGTCTAAAAGTTTTTGGTGTGCTAGTATGGTATTTATGAAGTTCCTAATGTGCTCTTTTTTATGAAAGTATCTTATTTCTCTATCAATTTTGAAAGATTGTTTTGCAGGGTACATCAATCTGGGTTGGAGTCATTTTTCCTGTAGGGCTTGAAATATGTCGCTCTAGGCTCTTCTTGCCTTGTGGGTTTGTGTTGAGAAGTCTACTGTGATTCTGATGGGCTTTCCTTTGTATGTGATTTGTTTCTTTTCTTTAACTGGTTATAGAATTTTGTTCTTCTGTTGGGATTCTGGAATTTTAAATTTTATATGCCTATGTGTAGATTTTTCCCATTCAGTTATGTCACCTCTTATTATTTTACAATATATTTCAAAGAAAATGTCATTACAGTTCCCTTAATTGCTCTATAAGACCTGGAATAAAGGAACACTTGAAACCCACAAACATCAAGCTGAAATACCTACTTGTACTGAAACATTACTACCAAAGAGATGTAGTTTATTAAATAAGCAGATGTTCAGCAATGTAAAATAAAGTAACTTGTTAAGCAGAAAGTAAACTTTGCTTTAATGGCCATAGAAAGGAGGTGGTTTGTTTTCTTTTTTTCAATACATCTGGTTCTGGCAGCAAGTTAGTAGTATGCATTTAAAGCAGTATGTGCCCTGAAAGCTTATATTTTCTGTTTGTGCATTAAGAAACTATTGTTCTTAACACCCTTAATACCTCTCCCCCTCCTTCCAGAAGATCTCAATGTTAGGGAACTCAAGATTTTTCAGTGGCAGTATTTTACAATTACTTTTCTCCAGTAACACTGGAAGATTTTAATTTTCTGTAAAAGAGAAGTGATGAAAACATAAGAATACCCTCCAGGGTCCAATTTTTGCTTTACATTCTCCAAGTAGTAAAATAGCAGCTCTACCTGGTGATAAAAATGAGCTTCAATTTCTATTAGTTTTTAATCATGTTAACATTAAAACACATCTGGATATAGCTGGACTTCCAAAACAAAATCTTAATTCCCAAGTATTTTAGAGCTTTAATGAAATATTACATAGATGTAATTAGCTCTTACCTACTCCAAAACACCATATATATGTATATGTATGTATGTATGTGTGTTTATATATATATATTATATATATATATATATTTAAATTTTATCTTCACTGAAGTTCATTTATTCTGGCTGGACACGAGAAAGATTAACCAATGCTGGCTTTTTTTATAAGCAGTACTTTGGGTCTTTTTTTTCCTCCAGTACAACTGTGCCATTTTTATAGTTCACAAAAGGCAATATAAAGAAATACCTATGAAGTAGGCTTCAGCCAGGTATTCATATTTTAAAGTTAGATGCTACCAGTGTAGCACTATGGCATTATAGGCATTAAAAAATTTTTTTAAGAGTAGGAAAAATTTATTGGGAGAAAGAAAGCTTCTGCCTAAGAGAGGCAGAAGGGGAACCGGAAAGTGGGTTGCCTCTATAGGCATTAAATTTTTGTTTTTCTTCTTTCAAGTTTGTCCGTTCTTTACTACTATTTTTTTCCTTACCAGGGGATGTTCCTTAATCTCAATGTAAGGCCAGGAGACCATTTATAATTACTCACAATATCATGGTGGGCTTAATCTCTTGAGCTGATGTCAACAGAGAACAGTAAACAATTAGGACCACATTCCATCATCTCCAAATAGAGCCAAAAGCACTGTATTACTATACCTGCTTCCTCTTTCTGACTGATTTTTGCGTTATTCTTATTAAAATAACAAGATTGCAAAGTTTTTCAGTTGTATTTTTAGATAACTACTATGTTTCAGTTGATACATTTCAATTTGCAAACTGTCATTAGTAATATCCTTTCTATAAAGATGGTTGGCAAATTAAAAAAAGCACAGAAGGGGAGTAAATCAGAAATGTTTCCGACTTTCAATAAAGAGAACCAAAGCATGTAGTGTTCGTGAAGAAAAGCAGAGAAAAATGTTCAGAAATTTATGCACAACTTCAACTACAAACTTCTCTTCAGATGGAACCTGAGGCTTGAGGAGAAAATAAGTTTTCCTAATTACATGCTGCATATAAACTAAAATGTAAAGCTGCAATACATGTTTGGTTTAAGAGTGGACTCATGTTTTTTTTTAAATGAGGTAATTAAAGGAAAAGAAAACCAAAATACTTTCCCAAGCAAGTATATTAAACCTGTAGCCTCTGTTCTTTTTACCACTCAGTGCAGTAAAATGTCCAAGAAAATGTAAAATGCAGCATACGCAACCATGTAATCTAAAATCTTTTCATGATAACTTATTGAAAATTGCACTTGACAGTTCATCACAATGGAAAACTGGCCTATTGTTGGTTTACACAGTCTTTGAGCCCCAAACTGAAGATGAAGTCACCAGTAAAATGATCTGGATAAAAAGTTTGCTGCTCTGCTCAGCCAGCTAGCTTCACCTTCAAGATGGGAGCCAACCCAGGACACTGCTTTGTCCTGCTCCTTTGTGAGACCTTCATCCTCAGGCAAGTAGTCAGGCAACTCTGTGTTCTCTTCTACTTCCACAGGAGCACCTTGGAATAGGACCAGCATCTCTTCTCCACTTTCACTTTTCACAACTTGCTGAGCTTTCATGACATTGGTTGATGCTATTGCTGATGCCAATCTGTCTGTTTTCAAATCTGAACAGATTTGTACCACACATCTTTGAACAGCCGTTTGAAAAGTAAAGCTAATAACACCTTTGATTTTTAACAAAGCCTCTTCACATAGATTTCTCTGAGACATATCATCAAGACCATCTATGTGCAAAACCACTGTTTTGGCACATTTGTTTGTAGTTCCTAGAAAAAATTGAGCTTTCCTCCATTGTGAATTAATTTCATTAAAACTATCACCATCTGCCATACTGGAAGACTGAAGAATGTCATAGACTTCAGAGGCCAGAAGCTTTGTTTCTCTTGAAGTTGTAGTCTTTTGTATAAATTTTGCAAGTTTAACATCATACCCAATTCTCCTTTCATCTTTCCCCTGTTCACACGACATTCTGCCAAGTATCAAAGAGCAACCAAAGCTGAGTGGACAACAGAGGGGTTGGGATGATCCATAAATAAAATAAGGCCAGGCAGACATCCTCAATCCTGGAAAATAGCTCTTCTATTTAATGGATCTCCTGCTAGATCCTGCAGCTGGTTAACTACTGACAGAGCATCAGCTTCTTCACTCATGGTGAGGGAGGATGAATTCATCTTCTAAGTCATGCACCTGAATAAAATCTTCTTAAATTTGCTCCAGAGGTTTAGGAGTCCAGAGGTTGCCATACCATCAGGGCCACATCTACAGATAAGCTAGAGGGGCCTAGAGAGTGCAAAGCGAGCCTTTTGGTTCACACCCATGACCTGAGCAATCACAAACAACTAGGCCCACTGAAGAAGCCAAAAAGAGAAGGCACTGGCCTGTGTAGATATTTTTTGATCAAGCCTAGCTGGAGTCCTATATGCCTCACTTATCTGTATGTCAAGTTCTTTTCCCCTGCTTGGGTAGTTTTCTGGCATCACTTCTGTGAACAGTTTTTTATGTCATCTGGACTTTCTCCTGTCTCTTCATTGACTCCAACCAGTCTTATGGTATTCTTTGCATTGTCTAGCAGCTGCTGGGTTGAATTCTTGCAGCCCCTTACTATTTTAAAGAAATTTTTCTTTTCCTGGTCACTAATTGCGATCTTATAGTCTATATCTGAAATTCTGTCCTCACATTGGCTCATTCTGCTGCATAAACTTTCAATGGAGATTTTAATCTCCTGGAAATCTATTGGTATCTGTTTTATGGATTCCATTTGTTTCCTATGTTGGGATTTCATCATGTTCCTCAGCTCCTCTATTTTTTTTATCTGTGTCCACTCTACATGCACTAATCTTGTCTTACAGTATGGGCACAATCTCTGCTGTTATCTGAGAAATTTTTTCTGATTGCATTTTTTCCAGATCCTCTTTTGTTGCTAGTTCAGGGAGTCCAGGTGATTGAGTATCAGATTGTTGCATCTTGTTTCCCTTTGGGGTTGCTTTAGGTGATCTGGAAGTCTGGTTTTGGGACTTGTTTATGTGTCTTCTCATTTCATTTGGAGGGGTGTTTTTGTGTATGTGTGCTGCTGGTATCTGTGTGGCTCACATCCTCAGTGCTGGTGGGGGGGCTCTGCTCCACAGTGCTGGGGGCAGTGGTATGGCTGCCTGAAAGGCTCAGCTTTCAGCACTTGGGGGCTCTGCTCCTTTGTGCTTGGGGCAGTACTACAGCAGCCCGAAAGTCTAAGCTCCTCAGTGCTAGGGAGTGCTCTGCTCTTTGGCACTGGGGGCAGTGGTACCTGGATTTTTTAATTAGGCATATTCAGCCTATAAAAAAAATGTCATTTTCTTAACCTAATTAACCTCTATAATAATTTATTCTAAATTATTATGAAAATGTCTATGATAAAACCAATTTATTCCTATGTTAATTGATTGGAATTTATAATATCAAACTATACATGCATATAATTGTGTTTACATTTCAACTCTAAATTAGAATAGTGATAAGAGATAGATGGTGGTAATTGGTGCATATGTAAAAAATCCATAAAGTAGCAAGTTTTGTAGGGAAATAAAAGTTATTAATGTAAAATGAGTGTAGAAATATAGTTATATTGTCTATATCATAAAGGTCTATATTAGATTACATGAACTATAAGATCATTTAAGAATAAGATGATGAGACTTCTACTTTCATTGGTAGAAAATCAGATAATTCAGATCAACGCTTACTTAGATGACATATAGAAAGATGAGAAAATTGTTGGCATCATATTAAAGATTTACTAGATTGAGATTCCAGAGAAGACAGAAAGGCAAAGGCATGAGCCCACCATGTGGAACTACTTTCCCAGGGGCATCTTTTGATTATTAAATAGGCTGCTCAGTCACTAAGTGCACTTTTGTCTACTTCCTGAGATTTGGAGGACAGATGATGAACCAGTGACCACTAAGTGTGGAGAGGCTGGTAATTTGCTGGTGGTTAAATTAAGGGCTGGAATGGCTTAAGGATAGAAGTAATAATAAAGCAGAAGCAACATGTCAAGTCATCAAACTTGGTATAATTTGGTAATTGGATTAAAGTAGTACCAGATTAGAGATTGCAGTGCTCAGGTATATGGCAGAAGCAAACAAAAATTTTCCAAGAAAAATAACACAAAGTAACACTACCCCGACCCTCAATTATTTATATAAGCACGTTTTCAAAAGAAGCATTAGGAATCCTACCTATGATACACCCAACCACACAGGAAGAAACTATGCATAGGATTCAACTGAAAAAACAGAAATCAAATGCACTGAGGTAGGTCCCTATGTTTGGATTAATAGACACAGACTATAAATACATTTTAAAATAACCATATTGGTGATGGTTGGTGAAATAAATGTGATTGAAATTAAAACTGGAATATAAAAAATACATAAAGTATTTGAAAAGAAACAAAAGAGAAATTTTAAGCTTCAAAATTTTACATTAAAATTTAGAACTTAAAGGGTAGGTATAACAAATTAGACAGCTAAAAAGACAATCAAACTCAGACATAAGTCAAAAGAAACTATTCAGAGTAAGTTACAGAGAAACAAAAGAAATATATGAAAAGAGGGGAAATGAGACATTGGTAATACAATCATAGGGGCAAACATTCATTTTTCCTCAGTTCCAGAGAAAGAGAAGAGAAAATGCATAATAATTCAGAAATAGTTAATGAATGTGAATTTCCCAAAACTGGTGAAAGATATCATTCATAAATTTAAAAATTTTAAACATTAAAAATATACAAGGCAATATAACACTGCATGGCATAGCAAAACTTTAAACAAAGTAAATATAAAGAGATAATATTAAAAGTAATAATAAAAATATATGCTGTTCTCAGAAGAGAAATAATTGAAATGAAAGGTGAACTTTTATTGAACAAAAATATAACAATATCTTCAATGGACTGAAAGAAAAATTTGACTTCTGTGCCAGTGAAAATATCATTCAGAATTAAGCCAAAGATATCTTTCCACAAAAGAATAAAGAATTCATCGCTGTATTAAAAGAACTACTAAAAATCTCTAAGCAGAAGGTCATGATTCTAGATGAATCTGGTAGATGCAGGGTAGAGAGAGAAAAATAATGAAATTTAAAATAGGTGGATAAACCAAATGAACATTAGTCATATAAACCAGTTACGATGTCTTATAAGGTTTAGCACACACATGCACGCACACACACACGCACACATTCTAAAGATTAACACATGGGACAGAACCTGGCTCATTGATTTTCTTTATAAGAAATCTGAACAGGCAAAGACAAAGTGATTTAATTTGGAGCCTAAAATGCTGGTTGAGAAAATGCTTCCTTCCCTGCCCTACTTTACCTGCCCTTACACAAGAAACAGAAAGACATTCCTCAAAGCAGACCAGACTGATTAGCATGTTGCACTATTTCAAATGCACATACAAACAAGGTTCACAGAAACAGGACCATGACCATGAGCAACCTATAAGCCATAGTGAGAGAGCTGGCTGAATTATATAGTGACTTCCTCCTAGGTTGATCAAGACTGGTCTCTCACACACCTAAATTGTATTAAAGCATCAGAAAAACAATTTGCATTGTTTCTAAAAATGAAAAAATGAAAAATGGAAGTATAAATGATTATCTGAAAGTGTTTACCAGTTTTGGAAAAGAAAACACACCTATCCACATATAAGTTTAGGAAATTTTATCAAATCACAAAAGCAATGTGGTTTTAAACTGTATTTTATGTGTCTCACACAAAAATACAAGCTCTTAATATCGTAATGTGCTTACCATAAAATAGATATATAGCCCATTTAGAAAAGAATAATGATTAGAATTGGACTTAATCATTACAGTAGAAACAGAAAAATTAAAACATTTACTTGAACCTATAACATTCTAAAATCTTTTTTTTTTTACATTCTAAAATCTTGCAGATTCATTTCCTCCTTTAAAACATTGAGTTAATGTGTTCATTTCCAAAGAATACATTGGAGACTATGAAAGAAATAATGCTATTATTGTTTAGTAGGCATTGATAAATGCTAAAAACTAAGTCATAGATGACATAGTAAGCAAAACTCTTCAGAAAAGCTTCAGTGTAATTTCAGCACAATTTTAATTTCAGATGAGTTAATTCATAATTTTTCTCCTAAACAGAAATATATTAGAATTCATTATGTTAATATTGATTGTTTATAATTTTATATCTATTATACCCCCTACATAGATAAACTGATTTCTAGAGAAAACATAAAGCAAGTACTTTATCTTAAAATATATACAAAAACTAAGGATTTAAATTGGTTAACAGTGCATAGAATCTTATTTCAACAAATGCTTCATTTTTGTAAAGAATATCATAGTTTGGAAAGTAATTTGGCTCCCTAAGGAAATATTTACTGAAACAGTTAATATTTTCTGAAGAATAACAAAAATGTGGCACTTGCTGAAGAGAACCAATAAAGACAATTTGATTCTCAAATGATTGAATTTTACGCCTCTTTTGATCATCCAGAAACTTCAAAATCACTTTTTGGAAACTGGATTAGACATTTTTAAATAGACACAGACCTTTGACAGAGTTATCAATGACTGGGACAGTGCTAAGGCGGAGATTTTAGAAAAATTCTCACCAACTATAATGTATCTCAGTTTAAAATTCCAGCACTGACATGTTATAACCATGACAGCAAGGAGAGCCATTTTCCAGTTTTGTACAATGAAGAGATAGTATCTTTTAGCACAATATCCATCAAAAAGATTAAGTAATGAAACAGGACACATTTCTGTCACTTCTGTATCTGCCTGCTGTGCAAGTACACAAAAAGAGAAAGAAGCTGTCAGTCTGAGCAGCATTTTCCAATCTGGAAGCTTTTAGGAAAATTACAGGGCACTAAAGAATTACAGTTCACATTAGCTGATTGGTGTCACAGTCAAAAGGGGGAAAGATTCCATGTCCTTCCACAATAGGGATTTGTTTTCCATGAGCTAAGCTAATCACCTCCATATTCATAAAACTAACATTATTGCTAATCTAAAGAAATCATCCATCA